GCGCGGGATCCGCGCGACCCGGCGCCGCGCGACCCGGCGCCGCGCGACCCGGTGCCGCGGGCGCCCGAGCCGCCGGCCGCGGCGAGCCGCGACGACGACACCTTCGAGCTGTCGACGGACGACGAGGACGAGGACCTCGAGCCCGAGCCGTCGGAGCCCCCGGAGCCGCGGAGCCCGGAGCCCGACGCCGAGCCCGACGCCGAGCCGGAGCTGAGCCCCGGCCGCGACGACGAGCTCGACTTCCGGGGCCCGCCCCCGGCGACCGGCGCGCCGCCGCGGGGCCCGGCGCCGCCGGAGCGCGACCGGGGCCGGCCGCCCCTCGCCGCGGCGCCGCCGGCGCCGCCCGCGGCGGACGCGGCGTCCGCCGCGGGCAGCGACGCCGGCGGCGACTCCGAGTCGGAGCCGGACGCGCTCGCGGTCCAGCAGCGCCACCTGGCCATCTGGGACCGCTTCCTCATGAACGCGGCGAAGCTCAGCCTCGAGGGCGGCCCGGCGAAGCGCGTCGACGCCAAGGCCGAGGCCGTGCTCGCCGCGGCCGCGGGCGAGGGCCCCGAGCCGCGGGCGACGCTCGCGCGGCTCCTGCACGAGGGCGTGTCGCCCGGCGTCTCCGACGAGTACGGCCGCCAGCCCCTGCACCACGCGGCCTTCGGCGACGCCCTCGACGCCGCGCGGATTTTGTACGACTGCGGCGCGGACGTCGACGCGGCCGACGGCGGCGGCAACCGGCCGCTGCACGTCGCCGCGGCGCGCGGCTCCGGCGCCGTGCTCGACTTCCTGTTGGGCTGCGCGGCGGTCGTCGACGCGTCGAACCACGACGGCGACCGGCCCCTGCACCTCGCGGCGTGGATGGGCCACGGCGGCTGCGCGGCGCGGCTCTTGGCGGGCGACGCGAACGTCGACGCGATCAACTCCTTCGGCCACGACCCCCTCGAGAACATCATCGAGCGGTCGCCGGCCGTCGCCAAGCAGAAGGCGCGCCTGTTGGCGGGGAAGCGCCAGAAGCCCCTGCCGCCCCAGCTCCAGGCCTGCATGGACCTGCTCATCGCCGCGCAGGCGGAGAAGCGCGGCGGCGCCGTCGACGCGGCGGCGGGGTTCGCCTAATTTACGTGGCCGCGTAGCCCGCGGAGGCGAGCTCGCGCTGGACGCGCGCCTTGTCCAAGAAGGGGTTGAAGATGTCGACCTTGTCGACGTTCGCCGGGTCCCAGTACCGCGGCCGGCCGTCGGAGATCGCGTCGAGCCGCGCGACGTCCGCGGGCGCGAGGTCGAAATCCAAGCACGCGTTGGACACGACCCGCTCGGCCCTGCAGGACTTGGGCAGGACGGACACGCCCTTGCCCGTGAGCCAGCGCAGCGCGACCTACCGAGCACGATGTCTCGTTGGTTTCCCATCCCAAAATCGTCGCGGCCGCGGGACGCCGGGCGCGACCTGCGCCGGCGTCCGCTCCGGGTAGCGCGCCGCGACATCCCGGAGCACGGCGTGCCCGACGGCGCCGCGGTCGCCGCCCTCCGCCGCGCCGCCCATGGGCCCGTAGGCCTGGAAGTGGACGCCGCGCGCCGCGCACCAGCGGCGGACGTCGTCGTTCGAAAAGAGGAGACTGCACTCGGACTGGACGACGGCCGGCGGCTCGCGCGCGTACGTCATGAGCTCCTCTAAATGCGGCACCGTGTAGTTCGAGACGCCGATCTCGCGCGCGAGCCCGTTGCGCCTCGCGTCCTCGAGCGCGCGCCACGTCTCCCGGCGGAGGCGCCGCGCGACGTTCGGCCCCGAGTCCGCGCCGCCGCCGAGCCACTGGGCCGCGCCCCAGTCCTTCTGCTCGGGGACCCAGGCGCCGGGCCAGTGGACGACGACGAGGTCGACGGAGTCGACGCCGAGGCGCTCGAGGCTCCGGACGACGCTCGCCGTCGCCGCGGCGTAGCCCTGCTCGAGGGGCGCGACCTTGGTCACGAGGAAGACCTCGCCGCGGGGCGCGCCGCTCTTCCGCAGGGCCCGGCCGACCTCTCGCTCGTTGCCGTACTGGCTCGCCGTGTCGACGAGGCGCACGCCGCTGCGCAGCGCGTGCGACACGATGTCGACGCATTGCTCGCCGACGAGCCCGGGCACGCCGCCCGTGCCGAGGCCGCAGAGCGGGATCCGCGCGCCGCTCCGCAGCGTCGCGTAGGCCTTCGAGGGCTTCGGCGGCGCCGGGGTTTGAGGTTTCGGCGGAGCGACCGGAGCAGCCGCGGCGACGCCAACGACGAGCTTGGCTCCCTCCTCGAGCGTGCCGAGCGACGCGTCCAAATCGAGCGCGGTCCCATCCTTGCGCCGCAGCGCGTAGCTGCGGTCCGCGAGCTGCCACTGCTTGAGTGCCGCATCGAGTAGCTTGCGCATCGGTCGCTTCTTCTGGATCCAGGACGCGGGCACCGTCATCTTCAGATGGCTCGAGACTTTGGCGTTCGTCTCCAGCGACGCGTCGGGCAGAATCGTCACGCTGATGGCCGCCATCGGAGAGCAGCCCGCTTCAAGCTTGTTGTTGCTGCAGCGTTGCTGCTCATTTGACGCTCTCCCCGACCGAGGATGTTCATCGATCGCATGAGACCATGAGTGAGGCGTCAGCCCCAGCGGCCGCGAGCCTCGCGGAAGCCTCCGAGGACCCGCTGCGCGCGCCGTCGGCGGAGGACGACGCGCCGCTCGTGATGCCCGCCTTCCGGAGCCTCGTCGCCCTCTACACCATCTCCTTCGTGTCGCAAATGGACGGCGCCGTCATGCTCCCGACCCTCTGGCCCTTCGTCGAGGAGCTCTGCGGCCGCGAGGGCTGCCAGAGCCACTACGTCTACGGCTGGGCGCAGGCGAGCTTCTTCGGCACGCGGGTCGTGGCCATGTTCCTCCTCGGCCAGGCGCTGGACCGCGGCGCGTCGTTCCGCGGGGCCATGCAGTGCTGCCTCTGGCTCGCGACGGCCGGCGGGCTGCTCTACTTCTGGGCGCCCGTGCTCTCGCGGGCGCGCGGGCTCGGCGCGCCGACGGTCGTCGCCGCGCGCGCGCTGCTGGGCGCCGGCTCGGCGGCGTCCGTCGCGTCCTTCGCGTTCATCGCGACCTTCGTGCCCAAGCCGCGGCGCACGGGGCTCTTCGCCACGACCATCGGCCTGCAGCGCGCGTCGACGCCCCTGGCGCCGATCCTCGTGCTCGCGCTCTCCGAGATCCCCGCGCGCTGGGGCCGCGGCGCCGCGCCCGTCACCGAGAGCGACGCCGCGGGCCTCGTCGTCGCCCTGTTCAACTGCGTCGCGGGCTGCGTCGTGGCGACGTACTTTCTCGAGCCGCGGAGGCGCCGTCGCGGCGGCCCGCCGGCGAAGCCGCCGTCGGCGGCCGCGGTGCTCCGCGCGCTCCGGCGCACGGGCGCCTGGGCGAGCTTCTTCTTCTCCTTCCAGAACAACTGGAACAACCAGGCCGTGCTCTGGACCATGCCGCTGATCACGTCCAAGCTCTACGGCGCCGACCCCGTGCGCGACTCGCTGCTCTTCGCGTCGGGCGGCGGCGTCGGCGTGCTCACGGCCGTGGCCATCTCCTCGAAACACTTCCAAGGCCGCAAGATCCGCGACCGCACGATGATCGTCGCGTCCCAGTGCGGCGTCGGCTGCGTGCTCCTCGCGATGTCCGCGTTCTTCGGGTGCCCCTCGCTGGCGGGGCGCGGCGGCGCGCCGCTCTGGCTTCTATGGGTCCTGTTCTCCGTCTACTACGTGCCGTTCATCGGCCAGATGCCCAGCAACAACAGCGTCTACTCGAAATTGATCAGCGCCGCCGCGGGGCCCCACCAGGGCGTCTACCAGTCGCTGCTGGAGATCTCGAAGAGCTTGGCGCGCGCGGGCGCGGGGCTCACGATCGGCGTCGCGTACTCGACGGCGGGACCGTGCGTCTTATGGGCCGCGACGCTGGGCATCTGGGCCGCCCAGTTCCTGCCGCTGCTCCTCGTCTGGGAAAGGTACGGCGCCGCGGACGCGGCGCCGCGGCCCCTCGCGCGGAGCCTGCTCTCCGACTTTCAGTCGAGCCGCGAGGAGGGGGCGCCGTCGCCCCTCCGGCTCACGTAAAGGCGCGGGTATTTTGCCACAGCTCCCTCTTGGGGATTTCAAGCTGCTGACACATCCCGCCGGCGGCGGGATATGGGCATCCCGCCGGCTGGGGAACCTCGCTTCGCCGCAGCTCCCCCCCGGTGCACGCTAAATGAGGTGGTCTATTTGCCGCAGCTCCGTCTCCTTGAGGAGCGCGCGCGACGACGGCGCCGCGGCGCCGTCCCCGGGGAGCTCGTCCTCCTCGACCTTCTCCTCGCGCGGGACGAAGGTGCAGGCGGCCTCGTGGGCGACGCAGGCCTCGTAGGGCCCGAGGAAGCCGCAGCCGTTGTCGCACTCGTAGATCGTCTCCTCGGGCGACTCCGGCTGCGACCCCCGCAGCCGGAGCCCGCTCCGGTCGCCGCGGAGCCGCCAGAGCCGCGTCGGCGGCGTGTTCCGCCGCGCGGCGACGGCGCCGGGCCGCGACCGCGGCGACGCCGGCTTCTTGCGCAGCTTGAGCTGCTTGCCCACGGGCTTGCGCGTCACGGCGGGCGGCGCCTCCTCGCAGCGCACGACGGGCAGCTCCGCGAGGCGCCGCCCGCGCGCCACCTTGACGAAGCCGGCGAGCACCGCGACGCCGACCGCGGCGTTGAGCGCCACGACGCACGCGAGCGCGATGGCGACGGCGTCGCCGGCGCGGCAGTCCGCGCAGACCGGGGCGAGGGCTGCGTAGAGGAGGAGGTGTCGGAGCAGCGTCGTCGTCGGGGCTGCCATGGAAAAGCGGATGGAATCGAGCGAGCTCACGACGAGCCGCCACAGTCCCGGGGCTGCCCTGAAAGCTAGCTCACGACGAGCCGCCACAGTCCCAGGGCTGCCCTGAAAGCTAGCTCACGACGAGCCGCCGCCATAGGCTGCCATGCGCCATCAAACCACGAGCAAACCCGAACACGGCGTCAACGTGACGACATTTCACACTTGTTGCACAACATGATGCAGTCTCTGCTGGCCAGAGAAATCTCCAACTCGCGCGTCGTCGCTGCCACCACCGCCGATCGCGATTGCACCGATGGCGTCGTTCGCAGCGCCCGACTTGCCCGTGCTCGGCTACCACAAGATCCGCGGCCTCGCGGCGCCGCTGCGCATGATGTTCTACTACAAGAAGGCGTCGTTCATCAACACGGCCTACGGCGCGGACATGAAGGAGACCTGGTTCGGCGCGGACAAGCCGCAGCTCCTGGAGAATAATTCCTGCATGAATTTGCCCTACATCGTCGACGGGCCCATCGTCGTCACGCAGTCGAACTCGTGCGCGGTCTACCTCGGCAAGAAGCTCGGCATCGACAGCGGCGAGCTCGGCGCGTTCGCGCACAACCACACGGTGCTCGACCAGACCATGGACCTGCGCAACGACCTCATGAAGGTTGTGTACCCCTTCGGCGCCGTCAAGACGCCGGACCAGTTCCCGGCGGCCGCGAAGGACCACCTCGACGGCTCCGCGGCGGGCACGTTCGGCAAGCTCGAGGGCTTCGTGCTCGGCACGTTCATGGGCGGCGCGGCGCCCCAGTCCGGCGACTTCATGCTCTTCGAGATGATCGACCAGCACATGGCCATCGCCGCGGCCGTCGGCGCGCCCGCGTTCTTCGACGCGTACCCGAAGCTGAAGAAGTTCCACGCGACGATGAAGGCGCTCCCCGCGCTCGCGCCCTACTTCGCGTCGGCGCCCTACGCGTCCTGGGCCCAGAACAACGGCCTGTTCACCCACTTCACGGGCCAGCCCGCGTCCTTCGACTACGGGCCGTCCGTGAGCGAGACGATCACGTTCTGAGCGCGCGAGGCTCCCCGGAGCTAACTAGCTCGAAACCGCAGGACCGTAACATATCCCGCCGGCGGGATATGTTACGGGCAAGCGGAGGTGTTGAGGTCCCTGTTGAAGTGCAAGGTTTGAGGTTGAAGTCCAAGTTGAAGCGGCCTTTAACATATCCCGCCGGCGGGATATGTTAACCGCACCTCGTCAGAAGCCCCGCTTCGAGTAGCGGCGGCCGTCCTTGTTGCCGGGGTCGTTCTTGCACCAGGGGAGGCGCTTGTCCTTGACCTCCTCGGGCTCCTGGCCCGGGAGGTACTTCGGCTCCGTGGGCCAGTTGATGCGCGTCGGGGGCTCGTAGCCCACCTTGCGCTCGAACTCGTCGTCGGAGCTGTCGACGACCTTGTCGAAGCGCGAGTAGTCGGCGCAGTGCTTGCCCGCGCCCGTCGCGACGGGCTGCTGCGCGCGGCGCGCGGCCTCGCCCTTGGTCTGGGCGGCGACCTTGTGGCGGTGGGCCCGCACCTTGTCGCCGTTCTTCTCGTGGAAGAAGGCGAGCGCCGCGTGGGCCTTCTCGAAGGTCGGGTCCGCGGCGACGCAGTCCTTGTAGGCCTCGACGGCCCGGAGGCTCTCGCCCTTCTTCTGGAGCACGTTCGCGAGGTTGTAGTAGGCCAGGGCGTACTTCGTCCAGGCCTGGGTCGCGCGGATGTAGGCGTGCTCCGCGAGCACGAGCTCGCCGCGCTTCTGGTGCGCCGCGCCGACGTTGAAGTGCGCGTGGCAGTCCTTGGGATCCTCCTTCGCGGCCCTCTTGTAGGCCTCGAGGGCCTCGCCACCGAGGCCCAGGCGGTCGCAGACGGCGCCCAGCAGGTTGTGGGCCCCGGACGCGCCCGGCGGCGCGCGCGCCGCCGCCGCGCGCGCGTCCCGTAAGGCGCGCTCGTAGAGCACGAGGCTCCGCTCGCCCTCCGTCGCGGAGCAGCGCTGCGCGCAGAGGTAGTGGAACGTCGCGGCGCTCAGGCGCGACGCGCAGGGGTCCAGCGGCGCCGGCACGCGGTACTTGCGCAGCACGGCGTTCGTCCGCTTCGGGTCGTCGAGGAGCCGCCGCAGGGACGCCATGTCGAAGAGCTCGTCGTCGTCGTCGTCGAAGGCCGTCACGTCCTCGACGACGAGGCCCTCGAGGTCGTCGGGCAGCTCGGGGCCCAGCGCGGGGCCCACGACGGCGGGCTGCGGCGGCGGCGGCGCCGCCTCGGCCAGGGCCGCCATCGCGTCGAAGACCACTTTCAGTGGTGGCTGGTGGGCAGCCCCAAGGCAAATCATCCGAGTTGCAGTTCGAGTTAATTGTGGGCGGATTGCGCTGCAGGAGGTTGCCTCCTCGCGTGTCTGGTCGTGCAGGAGCGGGGTCCTGGTGCTGCTGGTCGTGTGTCGCCTCTGCGAATTGTGGTCAGGCGTTTTGCGCGCCGCTCGTGCAGGGCCAGAAGCCCCACTCGCTCGCGCAGGAGACGGTCCGGCGCGGCGTCGCGGCGTCGAGGTCGAGGCGCCGCGCCTCCTCGGCGGGGAGCGGGCTCGTCTCCGGCGGCGCCGGCGCCTCGCGCCGCGGCCACCGCGGCGACGGCGCGTGCTTGCCCGGGTGGCGGTAGTGGTGGTGGTGCGCGAAGTGGCGGTGCTTCGGCGCCTTCGGCGCCGCGGCCGCGACGGTCGCCGCCGCGTCCGGCGCCGCGACGGCCGCGAGGAACTCGTCCGCGAGGCGGTCGTGGCGCTGGAGCCAGTCGTCGATGGCCTCGAGGCGCGCGGCGCAGTCCGTCGTCGGCCCGACGGCCGGGCCCGGGAGCGCGCCGTCGAAGGCCGCGTGGTCCCGCGGCGGCAGCGACTCGGGCGCGGAGAAGTACATGTCCTCGTCGCAGAGGCGCGCGAGCAGCGCCTCCGTCGCCGCCGGGT